ACACACACACACACACACACACACACACACACACACACACACACACACACAGACACACCGCACTCGCGGTTACAGTTTGCAGATCAGCACAGAGCGTTTTTGTTTCAAAAGTCCACATTCTGGTGCAACACACGACCAATTTATCTTTGCTTTTTTATTACTATTAYTGTTTTATTTTAGAGCAAAGTATGGGCAATGATTTGATCTGATCGGTTATGTATGTATGACTGAGTCCTGAAGGACTGTTTGGGTCACAACCCCACTAATGATGTGCTCTCTCTCCACTGTGCTCTGCACAGTGGAGGGACATGTTTGAATTAAAAAAATATATGTTTTTGTCTTACAAATATCACCTAAAATTAGCTGAATGATCAAACTAATAACAATGCTWTCATTGGGTAAAAGTGTTGGACGCATGAGGTAGATAATATTTTATAAGCACGTATTGAACACCTAATCAGGTCAAACGCTTATTGCAGGTTCGTGTCTGTAATTGCTCGTCAACAATCCGCAGAAAGAAGGGTTTCATAAAAAAATAARTACAATAGAATAGGCTTTATAGGTTTTAATGAAATGTTAAAAAACAATGATTTGACATGAATGATTTCTTACCCTGTTGTTTTACAAAGAGAAGTAAAAAGAGATGATCTATCTAAAAGCGTAAGAAGCGTTCATTATTTACAGARGAAAGTGGACTGTGTCAGTCAGAGACGCACAGAGGATGGGAGCTCTCCACTGCCCGGGAGCGCGTGCGCGCACCGTGTCAGTTTCACGCTGTCCTGTGGGAGGGGTGTTGTAGTATCACAAGGAATGCGCGCACCACAGTTGTGTGTGTGCGTGTGTGTGTCTCTGCGTGTGTGTGTGTGTGCGTGACACTGATGGATGCACCAATGGCAAGACGGACAGATGCTTGGGCGGATCTAACGGCGGGCGGTGGAGGAGCGGTGCGCACAGTCAGCGGTGAGATTGAGGGGCGAAAACATCCTGGTTGTGCGGAGACAAGAGACACCGATCGAGCATCCGAACGGAAGGAGGGAGTCCTCGCTTTGACCCGAGCGCTGAAACAAACGCGGAGGCAGCAGCGGGAAGGGTCTGATCCCCCCCGCCACACCGGCGGATGATCCCACCGACGGACGAGACGCCTGTTTCTGTTTCTGCGGTTAGCCAGGAGCGCGCGAGGCGGCTGCACATCTGGCACAGAGAGGAAGACAGGAGGAGAGAGAGAGGGAGATAAAGAGAGAGAAAGAACAGAGGAGGAGGAGGAGGGGAGCAGCCTTTGGCAACTTACCTCCCCTGTTCTTCTCTTCCCTCCACGAGAAACCTTTGATCCATCGCTGCGCTTTCCGCCTGAGGACTCCCTGAAAAAAAAAAAACCAAGAGAATATTTCTGTCCAACTCAAGTTGAGTCAAGAAAAACAAACTTTTATTATTTTTATTTTTTTCTAAAGTGCGACAAACGAGCCTTTGTGTCACCTGGGGGGAAATACAGTTCAATAATCTGAATCTGAATTCTCGTGCTTACCTGTAAAAAGCAAGAACGAAACAGAAACTTCATYCCGGTTTCGTTTTGTGCGACAGCTTCCTGAGGAGAGTCCTGCAGGGAGACGCGTCTGCTCCGCTGCGCAGCTGATTTAAATAGCTCCTCTCGGGTTAAAAAAAGAAAGAAGAGAGGAAGAAAAAAAAACTGAGAGAGAAAAAAGTAGCATCAGCAGCCAAGAAAGTGTTTAGCAGTGGGGCGCTGGAGCTCTGCTGATCCGTGCGCTCCTCCACCAGGCTGCCTGCACGGGAGCAGCCTGATCCCGTCACCTCCTCTTCCTCCTCCTCCTCCTTCTCCTCCTCCTCCTCTTCATGYACATTATTACAACAAGGGAGACCCAATCAAGCACGTATCTCATCGATTCACACACACGCACTCTCCCTCACAAACACACACACACACGCTCGGCCACGAGCACGCGCGCTCACGCTGGCTGACTTGCCCTCAGCGGATCCTTCAAAGCGCCTCTCGGACAAAATAAGGCAACCGCGCGCCAGAGAGGGCAGCGTGTGGGCGACACCTCCTCTTCTTCCTCATCCGCTGAAAAAAAGCCTTCATGTTTTTTGGTTCTCCCTGATCACTGACTTATCAGGTGCGATCGGATTTTTTTTCTCTTTTTTCCCCCCTTTTGAAGATGGTTTCAACTCTGAGTTGTGCGTGGTTCTCGGGGGAGAAGAGGGGGAAGCTGATGGATAACGGGACAGAGGATCAGCTCGTAAAGTAAGTGTACGATCCCTTTTGATATTTTACCCACATCCGTGTACAGGCAGGTTGTGTGTGAGTGTCAGAGTGTGTGTTTGTGTGTGTGTTGTGCGGTGGGGAGGTTTCGGACCTGCACGCTCSTTAAGCGATCCGGGGGCCAGAATAAGACAGAAGATGTCAGGAAGAGAGTGAGAGAGGCTGCTGAGAAAACAGCGAGCAGGAGAGGCAGAGGGAGTGAGAGATAGAGAGAGGGAGAGACGGAGGAGCTACGTGACGCCTTTCATCGGCACAGAGAGGTTGAACCGTGAGAAGAGGCGCAGGCTTCAGTTGTGTCAGCTCGTCATGTGTGCACGCTTGTTTGCAGACTTTTGACTGACGCAATCATCTGCTTTTTATTTTTTATTTATTTATTTATTTATTTTTTGTCTCTCTATGTGTGTGTTCCCTAAAGCTCGCCTGTTGCAGCCTAGAGGATCACACGAAGCGCTTCTCTCCCCTGCGGATCTCCCCCTACACATTTTTTCTTCAGCTTCTGTCACGTCCATCCAAACCGGAGCAGGAGGGAGAACGCGCGCGACCGAGCAGCCCAGCAAAGCGAAAGAAAGAAAGAAAGAGAGAGAGAGAGACCCAGAGCAACCCGCGGGAGCCGCGCTGCCTCCCCACCCCCCTCTAGGGCTCTGATCTTCGCTCCTACCGGCTCTGTTTTTCTTCTAAAAGCTGCCCCTCCGTCCTCTACTTGAACACGCTCCCCACCTCGATCTATGTGGGGGCCCTGAAAGCGCACCCAGGCAGGCGGGGGCGGGCCGTGGGGGAAAGTGTATCAAAGCTCTTCGGATCCCCCACGCAGCCTCGGATCACCGTGGCCACAGACAGACTCCCTGCCGGGCCCCAGAATCCGACATGCCGCGGAGAAAACAGCAGGCGCCCCGGCGCGCCGCAGGTACGCACATATTTATATATATATATAATTTTTGGATTTTTGGTTTGGTTTGCATGTGTTTTGCCTCGAACTGCACCTCTCTCTCTTTCTCTCTCCTTTATCAGCGACCCCCACCCCCCCACCACCACCACCCCGCAGTTCACTTTTTTTTATTGATATTGAAACATCTGTGGTCTACCCAAAATTGTTTGTGAGAAAAGTATCAGATGTAAACAAAGATGCAGCAGCACTTTTCTCAGCCTCGCTGTCCCTCACTAACAGAACTTATTCTTTTATTTTTGTCAGATATTCATTTTATAAACATTTGCCCAATCAAATTCCACCTTTTTATTGTTTTTTAAGAGCTATGAACATTTTCCTTTCTGYTATATGTTCTAGAAAGTTGGCAGAGACGTTATTATTTATTACGAATGAGTTCGATGTCAAAATGAGTTGCTTGCTTTTCTTTTTACGCTATAAAACTATTAGTTGTGCTTTAATTTCCTCATATTTCATATCTATATTTTTTAAACATAAGATTCTCAAAGAACTAAATATTCAGGATCTCTTATCCTTAAAAATACTACACGTTTTTTTTATTTTAAACTTGAACGCCGAAATGTTTTTTTTTTCTTCTGTGTAAAGGTCACAGGTCATCTGAGCTCTTGTCTTTTTTTTAAAAGAAGTTCCCTTTTTGAAAAGTTTTTGGTTATATGTTCCTGCAAAGAGTTGCAAAGCTTCTTCGCGTCTCTATTTCTATTATCCATCAGTTTGTGGACATTGACTTTAGGGTTGAGGATTTATAGTGGAGAAGTCTGCTCTACCTCTGGAGTCAGTGAAAGCAGACACCTTAAATGCTTGGTAATTTATTTTAGCGACAATTTTATTTTATCTGTTTTCTGCTAATGCCATACATTTGACAGAAAAAAAAAGTTTTCTTAATGTATTTGCTTTTTCACAGTTTAATGTATTTAAATACCTGAACAATATAAAAAAAAAACTACTTGTTGTAGTCATCTTACTGAGAATTCTTAAAGGTGTAACAGCTTCACGTTCTTCTGGGYATCTTCTGTTCCCCGTGCCTGTTTCGTTTTATTTTCTGGGGAAGACTTTTCTAGAGTAAAGATTATTTTACAGCTCGAGGTTGGAGTGTGTGCTGCAAGAGAGGTTTAATGGACATTTGCCATCTTTGATTTGACGCCTGATTGATCACCTGTCATCAGGCTGTGCCTTTGATCTGTTCATTCCCAATAAGTGTCAATAATTCAGCTCTCCCCTGTGAACTCTCTTTGGTTGGGAAGCAGGACCCCCTGAAGTCATGTCGGGCTTCACAAAAGTCTGATACACCCTGCTTTAAAAAAATCTTTGCGTATCATTTTCTCTCTATTTTTACTACTCATGCTGATCCTTCACCACCCAGATATAAAAACATTCTACAGGCAACAGCTAGGCAAGCAGATAAGATTGTGATACGCCTTGTGCATGCGCACGCACGCACGCACGCACGCACGCACGCACAAACACACACACACACACACACACACACACACACACACACACACA